ATGGTACACGCTTGCATGTTTACTTAGTGAACTGAACAAATTGTTTACAAGAAATTTAGAACCGAAGAATCAATTTCCACCGCAAGAATGGGCGTTGATAAGTTTTTGTTACGTTGTTATGTGTACGAGAATTAATAATTGCACGTAATACATCAAGTTTTAGTAAAATATCAAAGTGTGAAGATTCGAGTAAAAAAAGCTCGGCACGGAACGTGTTAATGTACACCGGCATGCTGGTCGCTGCTTTTTTTGCCGACTACCCCGGATTTCTATCAAAATGAGCCGCGAGGCTCGAAAAATCGCGACTTAGTATTCTCATATCTGCCGATTTAAATTTCGACCTCCAAACATTTCTGGGAGAAATTACTGTATTTATTTACGTAGTTACAGTGGGTAACGAAAGTATTCGAACACTAGTATAACTTCGACTACTACGTCATATATTTAAATAAATATACATTAAAGAGAAAAAATATTTCACGGTATATTAAAGCAGAGTATATAAATTACCATTAACCATTTACCCGCTAATATTGATATAACATGGGAAAAATCAACCAAAAATGCATTCTAATTTTACAAATTTCTTCAGTTGCATCAACAAATTAAGATAACAATTTATATTTACACGTGCCTTATACACGACTGTCGATCCCCATGAAGTGGATTCGGCCATACGATTTGAAACAAAAAACATACATATTATAAAAAAATCATAAAATCGTATAAAATAGAGATAAAAACACGAGAGACATCTATTTTAAATAAATACTTATTTTTAAAATGTCAAACCTTTCGAAACATACTGTTAAACAATAGAGGTATAAAATTAGTGATAAAAATTAATAAAAAGATATATTTTTATAACGTTTCGACTGAATTTTATAAGGCGTTCGAATACTTATGTTGCACGAAAATTCGATGTTTCTAAATATTTTTTTAATTATGTAGATAACGTTTTACACTAAATCGAATGTTTGTTGTATTTTGTCATTTATACAGGGTGTCCCAGGTTTTCAGGTTCAAACTTTGTCAGTGTATTCTATGGCACAAAGTAAGAAAAAAATGTTATGTAGACATATAGAGCTTTATTAAGAAGTTATAACAAAAATTCAGAATAGGAATAGTAATTGCATTAGAATAGTGAAGCATTGGCTTGAATAGATCAGCACATGCCGTGTGTTTATGTAAGCTGTGTTTATTAATACATTTCGAAATGTCTACCGTTGTTGACAATACACGATTGACATCGATCGAAGATCGAATTTATGACCGTGCGAATTTCGTTTCTATTCTCTTTCATTTCATTGAACGAATTTTTGTTATAACTTCTTAATAAAGCTCTATATGACATATGTTTACATAACATTTTAGAATAGAATATACTGACAAAGTTTGAACATTAAAACCTGGGACACCCTGTATACTCTACTTGAATACATGCTGTAAAGTATTTTTTCCCTTCAATATACATATATTTATTTAAATATATGGCATAGAAGTCGACGTTATACTAGTGTTCGAATACTTTCATTACCCACTGTAGGTCAATATTTGCATACACATATGGTGACCATTTCAGCGTTTGTATTACCTGAAGGCAAAAGTAAACGGTTCCAGCTGTAAAACAGGTCATAGCTCCAATCATGTGGGCTGCGACGACACGAGCTTCTTGAAAATTAGCCAGAATGTCTAGGCCGAAACAAGCTAAAGCCCCGCACCAGGCTGTCACGACAACGATTTTTTTGCTGACGAGTTCGCTGCCCCGTTCCGTTTGCCATTGCGAAACTTGCCGATGTCTGATATACACGCAACAGGCAACTAAAAACACATATTATTTATAATTTCTCAGTATTCGTTCGATTCATCCAAATCAGATGTACTAATGGACGATTCTTCCCAATTTTCGATTTTCTTCTTCAATTCATTATTCATTGCAGTACATAGTAGTATTTGTAAATACTTTAGTTTTCATTTAATGTAATATGAATTTGAATGGTAATTTTGTTCTCAGTTTACTGGCTTGCAAACCTTTATAGAAGCATTCGACAAAATTTGTTATCTCTGTTAGTCTTTTTGGTCTCTCAAGGTTATTTCTTGGAGTATTGTTTGAAAATATTTAAACCGATTGTTTAAACCGATTTAAACGGCTGATGTATCATTCGATAGAACATAACTAGAAATCGCTTCGGTTAAATTTTTAACCCTCTGTCCTGACTGGGGCGTCGTTATAGGGTATCTTGGATTTAACGGTTTCTGATCGATTTTCCCCTATTTAAATGCATGTAAAAATTTTGATAAAAATGTGACGTGTCACGAATGTTGGTGTGCATTTTTGCGAATTTCTTCAGATTTTTAAGCTGACAATCTTGGTCGCAAGACATAACAAAACAATTAGGTCCCAAAAATTTATATTTCTTATAAAAGTAGTTTCGGCTCACCAACCAAACTTTTTTAGTAACAACATATTAGCGATATAATAACTTAAGAATTTTTTCAGATGTTTGAATTTGGTGCGCCGTAGTAAAAAAGAAATAAAATCAATTTTTTGACGTTTCTCGCCCGAAAAAAGCAACTTGTGCTAAAATTATTCTTTCTATTTATAAAGTACATTAACGTCTTTTCAAATGGAATGACTTTTCTAGAATTGATTCAAAGGATTCAAATATTTCTCAGATGTTAAACCAACTAGGTTTCTATGAAATGAGTATACAAAAAGTTTTTTCAGATTGCAATTGATCGGGATGATAAAAAAAAGTAAAAAATTATGTTATTATTATTTTGTATATGTAACCACGTTAAAATATTTCAAAAATAGTCTTAACGTGATTGTAAAGAAATACCATTGTTAGATGCTTAATAATAAAAGGAAAGAACGTTTAAGATCACTAAAAAGAAAGTTGACACACACGGTGGTGTTAACATTAACATCAGTACTTACAAATATGTCGTGAAATGTTTAATATCAACTACTATCTTTACGGAATGAAGAATAGAAAGAAAATTTTCAGCACAAGCTGCTTTTTTCGGGTGAAAAACGTCAAAAAATTGATTTTATTATTTTTTTATTACGGCGCACCAAATTAGAAAATCTGAAAAATTCTCATGTCACTATATTGATAATATGTTACTAAAAAAAATTTTGTCGGTGTACCGAAACTACCGTTACAAAAAAACTGCATCTTTTGTAAATTCTGCATTTTTATTTCTTACAAGCAGGATTATCAGTTTAAAAATTTGCAGAAATTCTCAAAAATTCACAATAACATCTGTGACACGTCACATTTTTGTCAAAATTTTTGAATGTAATTAAATAGGGAAAATCGATCAAAAACCATTAAACCTTAGATATCCTATAACTACGCCCCTGGTTACAATAAAGGGTTAAAAAATGAATCGGAGCGGTTTCAATTTATGCTCTACCGAATGACACATCAGCCGTTTAAATCAACTCAAGGGCACCTTTGATCCCCTTAAACGGTTATTCTCTTTTAGTCATGATCATTTCGTTGACTGTCGTTTTTTTAAATGAATAATAAAATATGTGAGTAGTTCGGAAGGTATTTATTAGTGTTATCATCTTAGAGTTAAACAACTAAATAAACCAAAAAATAACCGAGAGGAAACTGTTGGGCCGAAGAAAACTGTCAAAAATTGCGCATTGGTACATCTGGTTAAATAAAATTCGTCGAAATTTACGCAGTAAAGTTGCTATGTTAAGAAGTTGGGCAAATATACACGATTCTGGAGACAAAGTGCCCGTTTCCGATATGTAAGGAAATCCTGGTACTACGTGATCCCACTGCACGGATATGGTGTACCTGTAATTGACTCATTAATTATTAAGCAAACTGTGTTTCAATTGTTTCCAAACATATTGCAAGATATGTAATTTCTTTCTATTATTTCAATTTCGAGAGAATAAGTGCTGAACGTTTGTTCTGACGTGTCTGACTATTAGTTTCTACCATGGCTGGAAAGAAATAGAATTTTGAAATAGTAAATAAACTGTAAATATTTTTNTGAAGGCTGAGTTCAATATGACACGAAGGTTTCGTTAATGTTAGTCACGATATGCTGGAATTGCCGAGTCCTAAACGGGTGTATCGTTTTAAAACAACGGCAAGATTCGATTTATTTAACGCTAAACCTACCGAGTTCTAACAAAGGAAACCTACGATCATGGAAATCGCTTTTGAGACGACACTGGATTATATCCAGGTTATGTCTAACTTTGACATAATCTACGATCAGGGCTGAGATTTTTGAAATAGTAAATAAACTGTAAATATTTTTATTTTATCACGTGACACAACTTGGCAAGTAAACTTTTCTCTTAAACAGTAGTTATATATGGAAATAGTATTTTTCAAATATATATTTTAATAGTAGCTTATAGAAATACTATTTTGAAATAAGTATTTCAAATATATATTTTGATAATAGCTTATAGAAATACTATTTTGAAATAAATATTTCATTAAAATGTAAGAAAACAGTATTTCATGAAATAGTAATATTT